TCTCTCTCTCTCTCTCTCTCTCTCTCGCTCGCTCGCTCTCGGTCCCTCCCTCCCTCCTCCTCCCTCCTTCTTCCTCCCTTTCTCCCACTGCTCTCTCTCTCTGTCTCTCTGTCCCTCCCTCTCCTCTGTCTTTCTCCTTTTCTTCCGCAGAGAGCATATCCAGCACGACCGCGGGTGCGCCAGCCTCCTTCGGGTCCAGGAGAGGTCTGTCCCATGTGCTGGAGGTCAGGGAAGGTCCCGCACGGTCCCCGCGGCACCCGCTGAGGCCTGCCTCACGGCCTGGGAGGTGGCCGGCTCCCAAGGACGCCCCGTGTGTGGACGGGAATGTGTGTGCACCAGCTGTGCCGGGCCACGCTCTATTTATGTCCCAGAGATTAAACTTGTGAATCTTGCGTGTCCGCGCGCGGCTGTTTTCTCTCTCCCCGTCCGTCCGTCCATCCGTCCGTCCGTCCGCTTCTCAGCGGCGCCTGGGGGCACAGAGCTCAGCCTGCGTCCCTGCCGGGTGTGATGCTCCGGGTCGAGTCGCGGGGGCCTCCGTGACAGCCCCCGTGCGCTGTGGTGTGGTGCCGACACGGGACGTCCCCGCGGGGCCGTGCGGACGGCAGAATCGCAGCCACCGTGGCCTGCGTTCCCACACTTCAAGTCGCGTGCGGCCTGGGCCCTTACGTCGTCGTGCGTGCACCTCTGTTTTATTTTAATGTTTACTTATCTTTGAGAGAGCGCGACAGATCACCAGCAGGGGAGGGGCAGACGGACAGGGAGACACAGAATCCTAAGCAGGCTCCAGGCTCTGAAGGCCCAGCACGGAGCCCGACGCGGGGCTCGAACTCACGGACCGCGAGGTCGTGACCCGAGCCGAAGTCGCAGGCCTCACCGGCCGAGCCACCCAGGTGCCCCCCCAAAATTTTTTCTTTAATGTTTATTTAGTTTTTCAGAGAGAGAGAGAGACAGAGCACAAGTGGCACAAGGGCAGACAGCCACAGAATCGGAAGCAGGCTCCAGGCTCCGAGTGGTCAGCACAGAGCCCCACACGGGGCTCGAACTCACGGACCGCCAGACCGTGACCCGAGCCGAAGTCGGAGGCCTGACCGACTGGGCCACCCTGGCCTCCTTACGTGCGTCTCTTCTACACACATGCTGTTTTTTAGGTGCGCCTGGGTGGCTCCTTCAGTTGGGCGTCCCTCTCACGGTTTAGGCTCATGTCGTGACCACACAGGTCGTGAGTCTGTGCCCCTGCATTGGGCTCACTGCTGACCGTGCACAGCCTGCTGGGGATTTCCTCCCTCCCTCCCTCCCTCCCTCCCTCTCTCTCTCTCTCTCTCTCTCTCTCTGTCTCTCTCTCTCTCTCTCTCTCTCTGCCCCTCCCCTGCTTGCGTGCTCTCTCAAAATAAATAAGGGGACTATGGTACTCCTGGGTGGCTCAGTCGGTTGAGAGTCTCACTTCGACTCAGGTCCTGATCTCACGGTCCGTGGGTTCAAGCCCCGCGTCGGGCTCTGTG